TATGAGACAGAAAAAAACCGCAATCCTACCATAGTAAAACAATTACAGGCAAAAGTGAAGGATCACCCATAATGTTATCTGCCAAGATGAGGACTGCACTCAGTACGAATGCAAGTAAAATAAAAAAAAATAAACAAACATGAAAGATCAAGAGCAAAAATAAAGGAAAAACAAAACAATAAAGAGGGAGCACATATTTACTCAAAGGGAGTGTAAAAAAGGAGAATAACAGAAACCCACAAGTAATACGCAGGAAATCTTGCCCAAAAAAAAATGAAAAAATTTGGGGTTTTTCCATGAAACAATTCCAAAGCAGTCAAGCTCAATGTTTTTCTAACCCGTTACTAAACATACCCGCACTAAAGTGACAATTGGTTGGCTTGACTCCAGAGGTGTGACAACGAGTCTGAGGTGTAAGCCCCCATAAATTCATCCAGGGAAAAATTTAGTGTTTTCCAAAAAATCTTCGCATCCTAAAGCAACAGCATCCAAACCACTTGGGATTTAATATTTAGAAAAAGAAAATAAATTTTGGGGGTACATTTGTTAAAAGTTTTGGGAACATGTCACCCCTAGCTCAATCTCGACTGGGCCTCTGCAGTTGGAAAGGTAATCAGTATTGGAAAATAACAAACTATGGGGGCCAAGTAAAAGAATGAATTACATTTGTTGTTCCAACTTGAACAGATTTTCTGTAACACAATAACTATTTTCCTTAGAAAAAAGGTACAAGTAATTTTAACAGTCACACCCTGAACGTGACTAAACAAGTAAAACAAATATTTTTTTAAAACATTTCTTGTGGACCTTGTTTATAAAAGGAATATTTTAATTTGGGAATTCATGAGTAGGGGAATTTTTGTATCAGAAGTAGGCAAACCATAATCACACCTGCATCCCCCCAACCTTCCCTACAAAACACAGATATGCTCAGAAAAGAATTCAGTCAATTCAACTGAGGTGGAAAACAACTCTTGCACCTGAAGGTTTGGGGGGGGGATGTTTTCAGTTTTATGGGTCTCCAAAAAGTGAAGTTAACTGTTTTTTGGGAAGACAGAAAATTTTATGGGTGCGTGAAACTTTTCCTCTTTTGGGTCCTTCATTGGAAAATGGGTGTTAAAAAAAAAAGATATGAGACTGTACATTAAAGACCTAAGATTTATTATTTTCTTAATGATATGGGGGGAAGAAAATTTAGGTTCATAATCTATTAAAGTGAAAAAGATTAAACATGTTTCTATATTCCCCCCACACATAAAATGGGATTAAACCCAAAGACAACATTTTAATCTATTTTAAAGGAATAAATGTTTATTGTACACATAACCGAATTCTTTTGGGTTTTTGGTTTGAGACAATTTTAAAAAAATCGTGCCATTTCTTTTTTCCCCCGACTCATGGGTTGTTGGCAGTGTCGCCCAGTAGTCAGTTCTCTTTGACGTCAGGATCCTGTCAGGGAAAAAAAAAAATATACAGTGAGGGGGATAAACTCCAAAATTACATAAACAATTTTTTCCCATTATAATTATAGACTAAAAATTATTATTTGGAGTTAAAAGTAAAAAATCAACCCCAAAGTGGGATTGTCACAGTTGCTCTTTGGGGAGACACTGTGCTCTTGGGAGATTTGAGGGGAAATTGCAGGGTTTGGTGGATGAATTTTTGGGAGGGTATGCAAAAAAAAAATTAAAGGAAAACAGGAAAGATATTTTTTAGGAAAAAAAAAAAGATTAGGCGAGAAAGATTGGGTACGATTGGGAAGGGGAGAATATGGAGAGGTAATTTTTTTCAGATATTTGGAGTAGATTTCGCAGATGGGTCTAGAAAGATGAGGTGAATCATAGAATGATGAGGGGGGGAAAGGGGTTTGTGGGGCATTAGGGTTTTGGGACAAAGAACTTTTTCCTTGGAGGCAAAGAGGGGAATGTTGAGAGTAAAGTTTTACCAACACTCTTTTAAAAGGGTGGAAGCAGGGGGGATGAATTTGCGCAAAGGGGAAGGTGGAAAGGGAGGGAGGTCATGTCTGAGGGGAATGTGTGGGGTAATAATGCAGAGAATTTTATTTTGGAAAATTAGGGGGGGGCAGGATTACCAAAAACTTTTTCCAAGGGTGGGAAGGGTTTTTAGGGGTTTTTGGGCATGTAGAGAGAAGGGGCGAAACAGAATGACTTCAAGAGGTATCAGTTGTCGTGGAAGGGAAAGGTGGGGGAGGGGTCGGCCTGGAAAAGGTTTGGGGGGAGGGGGTAAAGGAGGTTTTTTGTGCGAGGGGCTTGGATTTTTAGCAGGATGGTGAGCGTGTTTGATAGGAGTGAATGGAGACAAATGGGTTTTTTAAAACTTGACGGTTTTTGGAGTGTGAGCAAAGTAACATTTTTGAAGGGATTCAGGGGGAAACCGGGGCCCGGGCTTTAGTCCTGGAGTAGGAAATAAATGGTGCACTCTGAAAGGGGGGGGTGTTAAAGTTTTCAATTTAAAAAACTGAAGTGCAAAGCATCCTTCTGGCAGACAGGATGGAGTGAATGATGGTGAAATTTTTCTTTTTGGGCCACCCTGCCTTGGGGGAATCGGCCAGTTTGTTAATAAAAAAAATAAAAAATTTATAGCCCCTTATTTCCCCCTTTCCCTTCCCCTCCAGATTTATACCCCTCTGTCATCATATTTGCTCCATAAAATTAAAATTTTTTTTTGGAAAAACCCCCCCCTAATTCAAATCTTCGGGATTACAAATTCTTCACATGATATTCACACAGCAGGTTAGGTTTGGGCTACTGTTGGGCCCTGTTTATACAGCAGGTTAAAATTTCAGGGCTACTGCAGAGTCCCGTTTTACAGAGGTTGGGTTCGGGTACGTAAGGACCCGCTTATTCCCGCAGGTTGTTTCTGGGCTACTGTTTGGACCCCAAATTATACAGCAGGTTAGGTTCGAGTTATTGTAGGGCCTCATTATTTAGAAAGGGTTTGGTTCCAAAGGACTGTAGAGTCCAGCTTGTAAAAGTAGGGAAGCTGGTTTGGTAAGACCTTTGGGAAAAAGTTAGGGAACCTTTTTTTCTGAAAAAGTTTCGCCTACAAAAGTAGGTTCTTCAGTCAGTAAAAAGTTTGGCCGGAGCAGGAGAGGGAAAGGGCAATGGGAAACAGGGCCCTCGCCCCTTTAAAATCATAGATTTGAGGTTGTCGTCCCTCAGGCCTGGGAAGAGTTCTGTTCCCTAGTCTGGAACTTTTCTCCCGGCTGAGGGGGTGACAACCCCAAAACTACGATTAAAAGGGGGGACGGACTGATTACATCGTCTTCCCCCATTCCTTTCTCCCGTACTTTCTGTATCAATCCCCCAAAAAAGCCCACGTTGTAGGCGAAGCGTTTCGGAAAAAAAAGTTGCCTAAATGTTGGCCCCAAGTGTCCCTTTTCCCACCTAACTATCGGGGAATTTTTTACCATTTTGGGTATTTTACAGAAACAAGCTATTTAAATTTCTGAAATTAAAGGGAGGTAGAAAATTTTTTGTACCCGGGAAAAATTTAAGAAAGAAAAAAACATAAAAAATTGGGAAAAAAGTAAATTTTAAAAAAAAGTCCCAAAAATTTTTTCACCATTAAACTTCCTGCTAAACGTTTTAGAGCATGGCGAAAACCTCTGACTTTGTGGATCTTGCTTTCGCCAAAAAAGGGTTCCCAGGGCCCCTCTGGGCAGCTCTTTTTAACCCGTGTTTTTGGGTTTGGGGTCCGGGTACTACCCTTTTTGAAAACCTGTTCAGGGGTAAGATTTCCCGGTATTTTTTAAAAATTTTTAAACAAGTTTTCTTCTTTCTTTAAAAACCCCTGTTTTCCTATCAAGGGAGGGGGCCCCCCAAAAAGGGAAAAAAAACAAAAGTTTCTCCTTTTAAATTTAGTAATATATATAGGAGAAGGGGTTACTAGCCCCTTGCTCCTGGCATTTTAGTCGCCTCTTAAAACACACAACTCACAGAGGAAGAATTCTGTTCCACTTCCCCATGGATATAAGAGGAAATAAACAAGATAAGATAAGATAAGATAAGATTTCGTTCGGATTTTTAACCCCGGAGGGTTAGCCACCCAGGATAACCCAAGAAAGTCAGTGCGTCATCGAGGACTGTCTAACTTATTTCCATTGGGGTCCTTAATCTTGTCCCCCAGGATGCGACCCACATCAGTCGACTAACACCCAGGTACCTATTTGCTGCTAGGTGAACAGGACAACAGGTGTAAGGAAACGTGTCGAAATGTTTCCACCCGCCGGGAATCGAACCCGGGCCCTCCGTGTGTGAAGCGGGAGCTTTAGCCACCAGGCCACCGGGCCACCCAAGAACAAGAACAAGAACTAGTAAGGAAATAGAAGAAAACCCAGAGGCATGTGTATCCATATATATGCTTGTACATGCAAGAGTCAGAATTGGCCGAAAATAGGGCTCAAAGTGGGTGAAATCGCCCACTTCGAGACCGCTAACTTCACAAGAGCATAATTCCATAAGTTTTCCATCAAATTTCATACTTTTGGTGTCATTATGATCTTATTTCATAAGAATTTTTTTTTTTTTTTTTCAAAAAATTTTTTGACCCTGAGAACGAGTTTGGGAGAGGGCCTCCCGACCCTCAAAGGGTTAAAGGAGGGGTTTGAGATATTGGCTGTTTAGAGTGACATCTAAACTGTCATATCTGAGCACCTCTGCAAAGACAGTGAATATGTGTGAATGATCGTGAAAGTGTTTCTTTCTTTTTTTGGGTCACCCTGCCTCGGTGGGAGACAGCCGAAGTGTTAAAAAAAAAATTGGTACAGTAGATTTGGTTCAAAATGCATTTGGATTTTTGAAATTTTATTAAATTTCACTCTAAGGATGCCATTCTTATAAAGAAAAGATTCACCAACTCTACAGTTAACTATGAATTACTGTAAGAACAATGTCCCTGTACCACACATCAAGTTTAAAAATACATGCCTACTATCCTACATTTTAAAAACTGTACTAAGGTCACTCTTCCAGGCTTACCTTTAACAGTATGGGTGCATATAACTTTTGAAGAGAATGGTAGAGTGAGGAAATGGGAGAGTCAATCATGGAGGATACAAAAATGTCAGCAAGGTTATCAGCAGTTATCACATTAGGTTTCATCTTGAAGAACACCAGCAGCTTATCCTTCTTCAGTGATGAGTCAATCTATTAAAAGCACAATCAAAATATTCATACTGCTTTACATGACATAGCAGAAAAAGATGACACATAATAACCACATGTAAAATTATAAAAGGATACTAATGAAATGATCATGATGTGCTAACAACTTTAACAGGCAGAATAAGAGGCCACAGCCGTAAAGTAAGGAAGAGCTCTGATAGACTACTTTGGAAGCAGTGTTTCAGAATTATACAATAGGTTATAAGAGATAGCAAGTAATAACAACTACTGGAAATTTTAAAAACCTTTAAAATATCCAGTAAACTCTTGATTTAATGGATTAATAGAAGGGAAGCAGGTGGCCAGCAATGATGAATGTGGTGGACAGACAAAAATTGTTTTGCCATGATCATAACAATAACATACAATTCTGTAACCAATGGACTTTGTCCATTGTTCCTGAATCAACTGACCCAGCAGATTTTGTCCTCTATTTCCAAAGTCCATTAAATTAAGTACTTGGTTAAACCATACCCCCGGCCGGGATTGAACCCGCGGTCATAGAGTCTCAAAACTCCAGCCCGTCGCGCTAGCCACTAGACCAGCTAGCCACAATAAGATTCATCCAACTAGGTATATTTCTACACCATAGGAAAGTTAGCACAGGCACCTCTGTGACCACAAATGCAAGTTTTTACAGACGAATCTCCAGCTAGCGTGGCCGTGACGAACTCTAGCTCAAGTCCCTTCACTGCCGTAAACATGACTTAAGAAATCGTAATGACACGATTGCAAATAAACCTACCCCCCCCGGGATTGAACCCGCGGGCATAGAGTCTCAAAACTCCAGCCCCTCGCGCTAGCCACTAGACCAGCTAGCCACAATAAGATTCATCCAACTAGGTATATTTCTAACCATAGGAAAGTTAGCACAGGCACCTCTGTGACCACAAATGCAAGTTTTTACAGACGAATCTCCAGCTAGCGTGGCCGTGACGAACTCTAGCTCAAGTCCCTTCACTGCACGGGCTGGAGTTTTGAGACTCTATGACCGCGGGTTCAATCCCGGCCGGGGGTATGGTTTTTTTGCAATCGTGTCATTACGATTTCTTAAGTCATGTTTACGGCAGTGAAGGGACTTGAGCTGGGAGTTCGTCACGGCCACGCTAGCTGGAGATTCGTCTGTAAAAACTTGCATTTGTGGTCACAGAGGGGGCCTGTGCTAACTTTCCTATGGTGTAGAAATATACCTATTTGGGGATGAATCTTATTGTGGCTAGCTGGTCTAGTGGCTAGCGCGACGGGCTGGAGTTTTGAGACTCTATGACCGCGGGTTCAATCCCGGCCGGGGGTATGGTTTATTTGCAATCGTGTCATTACGATTTCTTAAGTCAAGTTAAGTACTTGGTTCTATCTACTGCTAATTCTTGAAGCAATATGGATGAAGAGGTAATATCTCTCAATACATGTTTGGAGGGGTATGTTGTGTATCTTTATATGTGTATGCTTCTAGACTGTTGTATTCTGAGCACCTCTGCAAAAACAGTGATAATGTGCGAGTGTGGTGAAAGTGTTGAATGATGATGAAAGTATTTTCTTTTTGGGGATTTTCTTTCTTTTTTGGGTCACCCTGCCTCGGTGGGAGACGGCCGACTTGTTGAAAAAAAAAAAAAAACATGTATTACTGTATCTGTTCATAGTATTGTTACTTTTAGTCTTCATATTTCAGTACTGCCTTCCTGTGAGTGCATACTGACTTTCTCTAAGTACAGAAACCTTGATCTGGACCAGCTTGGAGTGATGGTAAGAGATGTCCTTTGCATCTGCACTGTCTGATCTGTCAGCAAAGATTCATGATGCAATGTTTCTAGCTGTGATCAGTAAGTTCTGTCCTTCAATGACCAAAAAAATCTTCATTCATGAAGTTGCCAGTATGATTCCACTGCTTCCCAGCTATGCAAGTCTTGCAGGAGAGTGCTTTCTAAACATTTTCTGTCAAATTTGTTGCCTTACCTAATAACCTAGAAAATGGTCTAATACAACTTAACCCTTTCATTATCCATGCCATAGTTCTACGGTTTGCAATCTCTGTCATCCGTAGTTTTAAGGGTTGCAGTCTCTGTCCTTGCCATAGTACTACGCCATGAGCTCAGCTCGCTCAGATAAGCAGTGAGCAGTAAGTTTGGGCCCAGATATGAGAGAATGGATCAATGAGGTAAGTGTGTACCATATAAAAATAATCCTGCTCAACTCGGTGCATAATGGGAAAAACTGCAACCAGGTTATTGGTTTAAAATAGTGACCTCGTAGTATATTTTTGGATGGTTTTTACAGTGTATTCTTAGTTTTTTGGACTCATTTGGTAAAATGGAAGATATATTACAGATCTAGAGATGATTTTGATTGATTTCTAGACTGAAAGTAGCTTGAAATCGAGCCCATAGTAGTAGGACGTTAAATTTTTGCTGATATTCCCGAGTAAATAAATCACATCATTCGTCCAAAACGCGTCCAACTGGTTGGGTCTAATATGCATTTACAAATGTCATGACATTATTAATACAATTATTACAATAAGATATAACAGTAAATCTTCTATTTTTCCTGTGTGAATAAAAACTCTTTGTGTGAATAAAAATTTAAAATGGAATTCATGTGTAAAGCCTGGAAATGTAACTAATGAACAGAGGAAATATTATTTTAGTACCAGGAATGCCTGCATTGTTTATTCTGGACACTATTTTGAAACTTGCATATTTTGCAATTTGTGTGAAATTGGCCAAATTACCAATTTCTGATCACTTTATTGGATAGCTGAAATAGTTGACTGGGCAGTTTCTTGTGCTCAATCGATAAAATGGAAGACATACTAGCGAAATAGCTAAGAATTTGGTCTATTAGAACAATGTAATTGACCTAAAATAAGATTCAAAGTGGGCAAAATTGCTGATGCATAAATATCACTGTCAGCAAAATTCACAAAAGCATAATTTTGTCAAATTTCCATCAAGTTTTGTACTTTTTGTTTTATTTCCGTCAGAAAATGATTTTCTACTATTTCATAAAAAAAATAACAAAAACTTTTTTTGAAAATGATGCTGTGGACAGGTTTCAGATCAGGGTTCTGGACAATGAAAGGGTTAATACAGCTTAAAACAGTGTAAAACAAGGGAATTTTCCAATTGATCCAACCCTTAACATTACAGTTGTTGAGGAAAGCCTTTTGTCGAGACCAACTGTCAGACTGAACTACAGCCACTACATCTGACCTCTCCCCACACCTGACTTCTTTTTTCTATAACAGCAAGTTGTGCCTTAAAATATTTTTCATTTTTTTATTAACATATCGGCAGTTTCCCACCAAGGCAGCGTGGCCCGAAAAAGAAAAACTTTCAACATTCACTCCATCATACATAAACGAGTGTCTTACCAAAAAACGTCAGAACCTCCTATATAGAGTCAGAAAACTTAAGCGGGAGAATAATGACACAATACACCAATGCTTCACACGGGATGGGAAAATTCTAGTTAGGAAAACAAATGTAGGTCAACTGTACACAATCACGAACGAGAATGATCTATCACGATTTCTCAGGGATACTGATCTTACAGAGAATAACTAAATGTCCAACCTAAAAGCCTATGTAATGTAGTGTATGTTTTGCTCCATTATTGTTCAAATCTTGTAGTACAATCTCTTAGTAATTAAATAATCAACTACCTCATTTTGTGATTTTACTAGTAAGCATAAGTCACCTTATCTAATTTTCTTATTTACTATTGTTTGCTTAAATATTAGCTGAATCGATACTTTCTCTGTCCATATTACTACCTATTTTTAAATACTATCAATTGATATTACTTACTAAAATTAATAATTACCATTTTTACTATCAATACAATTTACTCTTAACATTTTTGACATCATTTAATAACCATTACTTGTCTAATTACCTTAACCAGTTTTAATACCACATTTACTATCTTAGAGTACTCTTAATTACCTTGTACTGCCAAATAACCTCAAGTATAACTACCAGTGCAATTTTGAAAGAAATAAACATTACTTTTCACTTATTTTGTAATCATTATTACTTACTAAAATTTTATTAAACACCATATTTACTACCAGTCAATTTTACTTTTGTACATTAATCATTATTTTATACTTCCCATAACATTTTGTTGCCAATTTTCCAAGTTTGTATATTCAACTCCAACCTTTATATTATCCTTTGTACCTGTGTACCTGTCCTCTCGCATGCTATCTCATTACTTTTTAACAAGTCACTAGAAGCTAGCACCTTTCCGAAACTACTCAAGACGGCAAGGGTTACACCAATACGTAAAGGTGGTGACCATACAGATTTAAACAACTATAGGCCAATATCAAACTTACCATTGCTATCCAAAATCTTTGAGAAACTCGTGCACAGGAGACTATATTCATTTATAACGTCACAGCCATTTATAACGTCACCCAGCCAAGCTAGGTGTTCTAGGGTACACTCTGTATTATTTTTTATACAGTAAACAACCAAAACCAAATTCTGAAACTCACATTTAATCCTTATAGAAATAAACTTTAAAACACTATCTTGCCGAGGCATGCCTACCTACAGTTATAAAACGCAATTTTAACACCCCTCCTTCAGGTGCGAAAACTGTACTTCCCATCTCAAAGACTCAAGCCCGCCCCCCATTTCCCTGAACCCTTCTGTTACCCTGCTTAACTCCAACACACACAAGTTTTAAAAACCCATCTGTTTCCATTCGCCCCGTCTAACATGTCAGCACATTTGCGGAAGCCAAGCACCTCGCACACAAAATCCTTTACCCCCTCCCCCCCAAACCTTTCCTGGCCAACCCCTCCCCTCCCTTTCACTACAGATTTGTATACTCTCGAAGTCTTCATTTCGTTCCATCTCTCACAGCCCAAAACCACTCAAAAAACCCTCCCAGCCCTCGGGAAAATATTTTGGGAAAATCCAACCCTCCTCCTAATCTCCCACATGGATTCTCTGCATTATTTTTCACACCAC